GATGACTATAGTGTTCTGAGTACAGACACAGCTTCGATTCTACGTACTCCAATTATAGCTAGTATCGAATTGTGATTAAAACTTCACTGTGGTATTTGGACTAGGGCTGCACAAATGTGCCGAAATGAACAATCACTGCGACATACGGCTAATAACTAGTACACTCAGAAGTAGATTATAAGATCACTGAAACAAGAAGCTTATTTGCCTGACGTTTCGGCTTCTGTCTTGACCATTTCACCAGCCATAACCGCCGAATCGGGTGGGAAATGCACAGTTTACACAGTATTTACAGTCGGTAGCGGCCACGCGAACACATGCACAACGCAAGTAGTAGCGTCCGTGATCATCGCTTGGGGTCCTGATTGATGCGATGATGGTTTGGCAATCCGCTTCCGAGTCATTAACTGTCACGATTTCATCATCCATTTTGGATTATGGCTTGGTAATTACGTGACAATTAGGTGCCCTGTCATCGAAGTTGTTGCTGGGTCGTGCCCTCCCACGTAACTGATTCTTCTGTTCGGACAAAGTCTCAGTACGGAATATGGGAAAAGCAGGTCATTTGGTTTGCTGATGGGCTGCGGGCTTGAGAACCATGACTTGAGCGCCTCGCGGATCATGCGGGACCCGTCGGGTGAGCTGCAACCTGGGAGTGGGCATCTTATCACCCTATCCTGCTGGCATCTTTGGTGATGTGTGCGAGGCAGGATCTGAAACGTTGGGCAAAAAATCCTTTCAGTGACTTCATCTTCTTCTTCTGAACTGCTTCCTGGAACTCGCCTATTTGCTTTTATCAACTTGTAGGCCTGGTTGAATGTACGCCTTCGACTATTCATCATCAGGCCTATACAGTAATATAAAGGAGGTTTGAGAAACAACATTTTCAATATCCAATGAGAAGTACGCATTCGGGAGGGGGTTGAGGGCGTTCAGAGGTCAGAGGTTATAGTCTTCTGTCCCTCTTCTCTTCCTTACATATTACTCTACATTACTGTGACTAAGTGAAAGCGAAAGTTTGCCAAACGTGATTTCATCAATGCTTAAATAGATAGCAGCGCGGAAATATTAAACTGTTACTGTTTAGAAAACTAAACGTGTCCACTAGGTCCATATTACTTCCTGAATTCTGAAAATGCTGCTCCTTCAAGAGCTGTGCGCACGCAGATTTGGCTGTGCAAAATAGTTTACATGTGTCAGACTACTTACGCACTCCTACGAAGAGGTCTAAATATGATTAAGCAATATCCGTCTTTTTTGACAGCACTATCCGGCAAATAGTAAAACTAGTGGTGGTGTGTACTTTATATACCAGACTCAAATACCAATAAACTCTGACGATGGAAGCGAGAAGGTTTTCGAAACGTCAGTTCAAATATAATGGTCCATGAACCCGCCCCCTCTTCTTCTTCCTTACCTTTGGGAGATGATGAACGCGATATATATATTTTTAATTGGTCATCTATCGGAGCCCAAACAGTCTTACTGATAATTTTAAGGTTATGGTTTATTGTCAATTATCCCTCGGATCACATAGTAAAGACCATCAACGCTTGAGTAAACAGTAAAAGTTATAGGCAGATAGTATTGTCGGCAAAGACAAGGGATACTGGAAAGGCCATTTCGGG